CACCCCGCAACTAAAAACTTCAAAATTAAAAAGGGTCTATCTATAAATAGATGACCCTCTATAATAATAACCCACCATAAACCTAACCCTAACCCTGACACAGGACTTATCAACGAGGAGGGCTTTCTCCGAATGTCCCGTTATCAGCCCCCAACTAAAAACTTCAAAATTAAAAGGGTCTATCTATAAATCGATGACCCTCTATAATAATAATCCACCAAAAACCTAACCTAACCCTGACACACCAACAAGGAGACTTACTCCATAACCACCCCGCAACTAAAAACTTCAAAATTAAAAAGGGTCTATCTATAAATAGATGACCCTCTATAATACTTTCCAATATTTGAATATCAAAAATCAAAAGGATTTTTGCAATTACATTGAGCAACCAATAGGATAATGTGCATCAATAGTAAGTTTCCATTATCTTGACCGCACTTTTGAATTGAGTTCAAGGAGTTCGGATGTTTTGTCAAGAAAAATGCAACCTCCGTACACGATTTCGCCAATAAAAAACGTTTTCTAAAAAAAGACGACATATATTAGTATCGAAAGAAGGATGAAAGAAGGGAATATTCGATGTTGGGTAATGTCACTTACTTTTTCGGAAGGGATATCATAAACTTCTGCATTTTCAAAAGTTTTATTTAATGGATTGCAACAAAAATTTTTTTTTCCCTTTTAAAAAAAAAAAAAAAAAAGATCGACTAAATAGGGTAAAGTGAAATTAGATTATATTTTGGCCGGCATTATGACATTAAAAATTGGAATTATATGGCCTTTTTCTACGAAACAAAATTGAACTCAACTTTTCCAAGATAAACCATTACGGGATCAAAGGACCACAAAACCATTCTTTTAGTCAAATTTTAACTGAAAATTTCTTATTCTAATTATATGTTTTATTATTTTTTGAAAAAGCATTCTGACTTCAATAAACAATCATTTACTATTAAATTAATGATTAATGAAATTTTAACTGATAAAATAACTAACAAAGAATAGCTACTTTTTAAATTTTTGCGCCCAGCGATTAATTATGTTCAATGTTGGGTAAATGAAGTAAAGATTTTTTTTTTTTTAATTTAGATCATTTCGGGTAGAGCATCATTTGCTTTTAAAAAGATTTTATTTTGTTTCGGGAACTTGATATCACTCTTCATTTCTCCCATTTTATTTATTTTCTTTCTATGTTCTGTAAGAAAATATTGAAATAAATAATCGAATAAATGTAAAAGAATTTTAAGAATTTTCCATAGTAATCGAAAGGTTACAATCAAATAATTCGATTTATTAAAAAGGTTGAAATTACACCATTGATGTTAATATTATCTTAACGAAAATTTATTTATTACGTATTTAAAAAGAGATTAAAGAAAGAAAGAAAGGAGGGGGAAAAAAAAGGAATTAAAGGAAAGAAAAAATTAAATGATTTCAACTGTAAACGTAATTCAATTTTTCGACGTGATTCGTCAGATTATTATTCTTCATGGAATTCCATCTTGCGTTCCAATGGTATCATCTGATGCTTCACTACTATTATCTTTATCGTTATTCTCATCATCTTCATTCAAATCTTCGTCGTTTGAAGAAGAGGAAGTATTTGGTGTACTAAGAGAAATGTGATCAGAAATACTTTGTTCAGTGGAATCCTCCAAACTTTCTTCATCACTTGACGTGACATCATCATCTTCATTTGGTTCTTCCCTAATGATGTTATATTCAATTGAAGTTGCTATAGTGGAAGTCGGAGGGGGTGTCATTGATAACGGTGCTTTATTTGTGGTCGTAAAGGACGTAATCATTGATGTATCTTCTTCAACCACATCAGCAATAGCATTTATAATATTACTAATAAAATTTTTAGCTCGACAATTATCCATAATTTCGCTGGATTTCGCAACGGCGCAAACGGCGTCGGGTTGTTTTTTAATCAATTCTTCGATCGCCATTTCGGCTACCAATTCCTTTGCGAGATTTTTGGTGGATTTAAAAGCGCCGAAAGACCTCTTTAGGATTGGTACACGAAGGATAGCACAACATTTATCATTCCTTGACCAAGAACGAAGAGAATACTTTGCATTAATATGTCCACATATTGTAACAAATAGGTTTAACAGATGAAGTTTTGAAGCGATCCTTCTATCATCCTCATCATCCTCTTCATTATCATCATGTTGTTGTTGTTGTCGTTGTCGATGTTTTGATTGTTTAACTTTCCTTCTCCTCCTTTTACATCCATCCTTCTTTTCTTTCTCGGATTCACGTGGATCCTGACATACTCGAGATGGAATAGGTAAAGGTGCAACAGGTTCGACGGGTTGCGAAATTTGTGGAGGTGGTTCCTGTTGATACAGGTAATCAAAAGATTGCGATAATTTAGGAAATTGAGGTTGTGGTATCGTTACATTTTGCAGAGGGATCGGAGGAAGGAGGTTTCTGTAAGCTTCGTTCCAGAAAGAATCTAGATTAGCATGATGATGATGATGATGATGATGATGAGAGGAAACGATAGGATAAGATTGATTAACGATAAAACAAAGCAGAACAGTACAATAATAATATTGGAGTGGAATCTCAAAAAACCTCCAACAGTTGTCGTCGTAGGGGATGGAAGCGGTACCACGAATTGATCATAAGAGAATATTGATGTGGGAGGAATGTTGGTATTGAAATTGCCGGTAGCAGGATAAGGTGTATTGAAAGGATATGGGGATGTTAGATTCGATGATGAATAATGCACAGGGGAAGAGGGAGAATTTGTTGTGGACGTCGTATTATAGTCATTTGAAGCGAAAGAATAACGTGAAGAACGTCGCGAAGGTGTGGAAGTTACAATATGTGGAACATAAGAGGAGAAAGACATATTATCGTTGTATGAAATAAGCTGAAGATTAAATCTTGAAATCTCAACGGGATCATGAAAATTATGGTTATATACTTGTGGTGAAAATGATGAGTGATAATGACGTGATGAGTTATTGGACATTGTTGAACAAAAAAAAAAAACAAATGATTTGTAATGTGATAAGTTTTGCTGCGTTGGAAAATGTTATGGGAGCCTCTTTTTTTATAAACGAAAAAAAAGGTTGGTTGGTTGGAAATTGAAAGGAATCCCTATATATGATATAAACATAAAACGCAAAAACCAGAAAGTGATCCCGTATCTGGATATATGCTGGGTCAGTATTTGGGCGAACTAATAAACTTTACCCAAACACTATCTTACCCTATACTCACCTTTAATTCTTACTATATAACTTTGGGTCATAAGCAAAAGGTATGTTTGTCATTTATGATTGTTTAGTCATACAAGTTAAAAAAAAAAAAAAAAAAAAAAAAAAATTTTAGCAAATTTTTGATTACCACGTTTTTTACTACTAAAAGGTACATGAACTGGGAAGCAAGCATTTTTTCTAATTTCCTTATTTTACCAGCCAGAATTATGACTAAGCAGATGTTTTGGTGGTTGAAACACGTGATGAACGATGATTACCATTTAATTATATTTTTATCATCTTTATGAGCCAAGGCAACGTATTTAGTATGGCGTCCTTGAGCGATCAATTTATTATTTCCTTTACTTTTTATATCGATTATGGTAAATGCAAGCGTTTTGCCTAATTTAACGCATTCGGCATCCTGCTCGGAGTAAAAAAAAAAAATTCGAAAATCACTCCACAAACATCATTTTTTTATAATTCAATAAAATACGTCGACGTACCATGGACATGACGTCTCCTTCCTTGGCAGCATTTAAAAAAGAAACATTCAAATCTGTGCTAACGCCTGTAGCATGCATGCCTTTTGCGCAAATTGCTAACGAACCTCCTATATCCACCAGTGTTGACAGCAAGCCGCCATGCACAGACCCTACGCGATTCTTTATTGTTAAAAAAAAATAAGCATTATCTAATTTCAAAGACAGAGGAAAAAAACATTGATTTGGTCGTTACCAAATGGATCCTCTCTATAGGTAATTCACAAGTGACTTTTCCATCGATTGCATCCGTAATCGTCATCTAAAGTAAAGTCGAATTAAAAAAAAAAAAAAATAAAGTAAAATAAAAAGTTAAAAAAAAAATAAATTGTTTATTACTATTTATAAAGAAAAGAAATGAACAATGCCCAAATGACACCTTTCTTTTTTTTAACAATATCTTTTTTACCTTTCCAATAATAAATTTATCGTATCCATTGTATTCCATGAAATGTTGCCACACGTTGCGTACAAAAGTTAGCCTAGAAGGTATTGTCATGTTTTCCGTTACCTAGAATTTCTAATTTCGAAAAGATACACACACACACACATTTCAAACGTTCGATCATTATTTATTTACCAAAGAACGATAATTGATTTTATTCAAAATAATACAGAACATTTTTCGCTAGAATAAGAAGGGATTTTGGAACAATGTGTTTTAATAAAAAAAAGAAAAAAAATGCACCTGGAACCGATTTGTTTGTTTTTTTTTTTTCGAACAAAAAAAAAACAAAAGAAAATAAAATAAAAAAAAATAATATTCAATGATCATTTTTCTTCGGTGTGTAACATGTTTACGCCTTGTACGTAATTTGGTTGCGCCGAAAATCCTCAAGTTTAAGGTTTGAGTTCGTTCGAAGCACAACAGATAATAAGATTCATTGATCCACATGCTGACTGTGTAAAAAAGAAATCGGTCTTTAAAAGGAATTTCAATCAACTGAAAAGAGGTTTATTCAATGTGAGAGAAGGTTAATTTTTTTTTTTATCGAATTCTTTTTTATTTTTTTTTCACATTCTTTTATTCGAATTTCTCTTCCAATTTTATTTAAAAATAATATTTTTATCCCGCGAACCCCTTTTTAAAATTTCCCAAACCGCTAAAAATTCTTAGAGGCGGCGTCAGCTTAATGCGAAGCCAGACAACCACCCAATTTATATCCCTAAAAATTATGTGCGCAAAATCTCTTGATGACGATTCTGCATGGACACTTAAGTCCATGTGGCATAGTGGTAGCAGCCACACACCCTTTTATTGATTCATGGGTTTGATGGTATGGATATTTATAGAAGATTACGAAATTGTGGGATTGTGATTGACAACCTAATTGATGCGGTATTGAAAAATTGGGCTGATGGTATAAATAAAGCTCAAGCTCTGAGAAGTAAAAAATTCGTCACCTTCCCTTTTATTATCATGATAAATTATTTTTGTTTATTATTTATTATGTACTGATGAAGGGATATAACGAATTTTGCGTCAACTTGAGATTTAACCATCTAACCGGATAAAACCGGATAATGAAATTACATGGACGATTGTTGTTGACGCACAAATTTCGCTAAGCGGAGGAGTTGGGGAGAAGGACAACAAGGGGGGTCAGGGGGTGGGAAATTAGAATGAAAATACCTGGGATTTTCCAGATATTATTGACAATTTCTTCGTTCCTAGATAGCAAAGTATTGTGGCACGGATCCCCCAGGCTAAAAGGGGGCAAATGAAATGTGTCTTTCACAAATGACCTAAAATGCATAATACAATGATGTTAAATTAAATGTATTACATAATCCTTTAAAAGTCCATTCCTTTCAAGTTTGAAAACAAGTTTATCATATGATCATATTGTTTAAATTTTTAATGTGAATTCAAAAATGTACCAATCATCTAAAATGATTAACAAGAACTAATATTCTATTCACGGATCTTGTGGGTAAAAAATGTGATATCAAACAATCTTTCAAACAATTAAAAGACGACCAATTGAAATTGTTTTGGTATGGTATGCTTTGAAAGGACTACGTGAACGGTATTAGTTCTGTTGTTCAGGAAAAGTTAACAAGCCTAGTGAACTCTAGCTTTGTTTACCAAATCTTTATCTTAATATTTGACAGGTGGATTTTTGATCCCTACCGATTTCAGCTTAGTTTCGATCATCATCTGTTACACAAGGAACGGAACTAATAAGATTGCATTATTATTGCTTTTTGTAAATTAAATTAAAATCAATATTGTGAAATGTGTGATATTTAATTTTTGGAAATTGTTAAAATTGAGAGATGTAAATAGTTAAATTAACCTCTCGATTTGTATTCTTTTTTTGATGGTCATTAATCGACCTAAACAGGCAACACAATGATGGAGAAAACAATGACATCAATTTGTCAAAAAAAAAAAAAAAAGCAAAAGGATGAAAAAGAGGGAAAATAAAAAAATCGACATCATTTTGCAACCTTGATTAAATTCTTCTCCACAACACGCGAAACACAACAAAAAAAAAAAAAATATTCTTTTTGTATTGTCGATAAAACATCTACCAATCAGACTTGAAGAAGTTGGCTGATACATGAATGATACACTTTCATGCTTTTATGCTTACACGACAGGCTTCCTTGCAGCAGATTTATAATTAACCATCATCGAATGTGCAATGAGTTAATCGTCAATCTTTGAAACATTTCTTTCTTTTTTTTTTTTTTTGGCGCCTAAAAGAGATATGAAACAAACAAAAAGAAATTAAAAAAGATTTCTTTTTCCTTCTGCAAAGTTCTAGAGCCAGCTGCATAATAAGGAGATCGGTCGGCACATACATCCGTTAATTTCATAAGCGTTTCCCCCTTATTTTCCATTTAGGATCAAACCCTGATCCCATTTGTCATCGGATCAAAGAAGGGTTCTCTTTATTTATAACAAAGTCCCTACATTCCTCCCTTCCCGATTGTAAATGATCACTGCGGCATGATGTGAAAATATTGCATTTCGGAACAGATCCTTCCCTTTTTCCTTTAATTATAAAGAATTTCCTTATTGGATTTTTATTGGTTAGTGCTTACTTCTTTTGATTCCGCCCTTGACTCGTTCTTTTAATATCTGATTTTACTTGGCCACATTTAGTATGAAAGAACATTCACCTTTTTCAAATCAAATATTAAATTTGAGTTAGCATAAAGATGTTCCGCAGCAACGAATGTGGGATTTACAATACCTGAACCTGTTAGGAGAATGTAACGGAATGCGAAGTGGTACGAATTGATGTTAGCCTTTTACGATTAATTATTAAGCAAACATTCCCCGAATTTACGCTTAAAGGAACCTTTTACGCCTTTTTTTTTGTTTATGGCGGGAGTTTCTCTCAACGTTGTACCGAAGCGATAATTTCCCGAACCCACCGAAAGGAAATATCATGTAGCATGTAGCTTCGCTTTGCGAATTTTCATCCTAAAAAAAAAAGATTTGCGATTTTGATTCAATTTTGTTTAAACAAAAATTTAATACAAAGAATAAAAAAAAAACCAGTATTGTATTTTATGTAACTAATGTTTATTTAGGAAATACATTAATTATATGTGTGTTTACATTAAATACAATTATTTACATGTGTGATAACCTGTATTGTCACTTTCAAATAATACAAAATAAAAAATTTTGATGTTCGCTTTGGTTCGTTGCACATAATAATAAACCCACAAGATTTACTTTGACAAAATTAATTTTTGAACACAATTTTATTATAAGTGAGGGAAAAAAATAAAAAAAGTTTTTGAGTGGTAAATTTGTTAAAAAATTTTTTTAAAGGAACCAATCTGTGTTGAAAATTATTATTATTTTTTTTTTTTTTTTATTTTCCAAAACTCCAATGTATTTTTTTCTGTTTTTTTTTTTTTTTGTGATGTTTGTGAATATCATACAAAAAACAATATATATATAATTTTTTTTTTTATGTTAACAATTTTAGTCTGCAACGTTGTATTTTTTTTTTTCTCTTCCTCTCTTCTTCCTAAAAAATCTCTTTTTTTTTTTTTTTTTCTTCAAAAATTTTGATAAATAGGACCCTTCGAAAGGACCGCAGTTTTTTTTTTTTTTTTACAAAAAATCATATATATACATATTCAAAATCATCATATTTTTTTAAAGGGTATATTGGGGAACATTTGCAGCAGGGCTGCTTTTTTAACCAAAAAAAAAATAAAAATAATTTTATTTCCGAACTATATTATTATATAAATTAACAGACGAGTAAATCAAAAAAAAAGTTTAACAATCAAGTATAAAAAAAAAAAAAAATAAATAATTATAAAGACAAGTAAATATAATATTTTATTTTTTTTAATTTGATCATTTTTGTTATAAACTCTGCCTTTCAATCTCTTTTTTTTTTTCCTCTGTTGTTTATCTTGTTCCTATTGATCCTATTGTCTCCTATTTATTCTATTTATTTATTCATTTTTTTTTTTTTAAACTGAACCATATATTTAACGCTTAAAAAAAAAAATTTTTTTTTTTTTTTTTTTTTTTCATATTCAAAAAAACAATTTTTTTTATCTAGTTTACTCTAATCCAATACGCGAAATATCCGTCGAGAAATTTTTTTTTTCTCTTGAACATCTTTTCATAAATAACGAACCTACCAATCTCACATACCACCACCGACGTTCATACACCTTTCGACTGAATAACTGCTATTTGGCAATACAAAAAAAAAAAAGAAAGTAAAAAGAAAATCTCTGGCGCATATTTCTTTTTTCTTCCTAACAAGAGAAGGAAAATTATCACACAACTTAAAGTAGACTAGAACCGATAAAGTCCTGGTACAAAAAAAAACCTCGGAAAGGAATTATCTGTTTCCCATCCTCTGCGACATCCACTTTCCGACTTTCTCACTTGCTTTATCCTTATTAAATAACTCAACTCTTAAAGGACGTTTGTCCCTTTGAAGCGTTAACACCTCTAAACCTTCAAAGGATTTAACGTAACGTCTAGGGGTAACCCTTTTTTCTTCTAAAAGGTTTTAATGAACATTATTCTTAACAACAAATGTCACGAATACGACCACAAGTAGCTCCTTCTGCTTTTGAAATACGCTTCAGTACAACGGATTCTGTGAGTGAAAATTTTTTTTGTTTCATGCATTTATAAAAAGATTTGCGAGATCAAATCTCTTTAGTGTTTTTTCTTTTATTTACTTATGTATTCCTTTGTAATCGAACGTTTAAAGCAGGGGTTAGAGGTTTTTGAGATACAACCCGACCTTAATCCGCAAG